ATGAAGAGATACTTCAAGTCTAAACAACACACCTACCAGAAGGTATATCCATGTTCTAGGTATGAAGAGATACTCCAAACTTAACCAACACACCTACCAGAAGGTATATCCATGTTCTAGGTATGAAGAGATATACTTCAAGTCCAAATAACACACCTACCAGAAGGTACTTCCATGTTCTAGGTATGAAGAGATATACTTCAAGTCCAAACAACGGACTCACCATAAAATATGTCGATGTAGAAATATCAAAAGCTCTTTAACTCAAGGAAAACTTCAGAAGAATTAAAATATCTGAATGCATTAGATTGAAAGTAATTCCTCGTCAGCTAAAAATTAGAAGTTGAAATGGCATGACTTTATATGCATCCAGTCTTTCTTATATCAGAAATAATCTGTGACATGGTTTCTAAATTCGGTCTTTTTTTGAAGCGTTACGACGAATTCTCCAAACGAAACAAGATCTACATCACAAACACCTGTTAATTAAACCCAAACAAGATCTACATCACAAACACCTGTTAATTAAACCCAAACAAGATCTACATCACAAACACCTGTTAATTAAACCCAAACAAGATCTATATCACAAACACCTGTTAATTAAACCCCCACAAGATCTATATCACAAACACCTGTTAATGAATCCCAAACAAGATCTACATCACAAACACCTGTTAATTAAACCCAAACAAGATCTACATCACAAATACCTGTTAATTAAACCCAAACAAGATCTATATCACAAACACCTGTTAATTCATCCCAAACAAGATCTATATCACAAACACCTGTTAATTAAACTCAAACAAGATCTATATTATAAACACCTGTTAATTAATCCCAAACAAGATCTATATCACAAACATCTGTTAATTCATCCCAAACAAGATCTATATCATAAACACCTGTTAATTAATCCCAAACAAAATCTATATCATAAACACCTGTTAATTAATCCCAAACAAAATCTATATCACAAACATCTGTTAATTCATCCCAAACAAGATCTATATCATAAACACCTGTTAATTAATCCCAAACAA